TTTAAAATTTATTATTAATTTTAATGAAATTTTACAGACACTTTGAATTTCCATTTATTCATTGTTGCACTTTTCTCCCCTCCCAACCTTCCCCTCTAGTGCTCTTGGAAAAGGAAAAGTCTTTCATTGTTTTACGCTCCCCTATTTTTTATTGCATTTTTAAAAATTATTATTATTACCTTCATAGACGTGTTTCATTCGTGTCCATTGTGCTGTTATTTGTTTTTTGGTTGTGTTTTATTTTTCTCCCTTATTTTTTTAAATTGTATTTTTTTATTATTCATTTCCTTCATAAATGTGTTTTGTTCGTGTCCATTCTGGTGGGTTTTTGTTTTGTGTTGGGGGAGTTGGTTTGCTCCCATATTTTTTTAATTGCATATTTTTCCACCAATTAATTTACTTCACAGACGTGTTTCCTTTGTGTCCATTGTGGTGCTGTTTTGTTTTTTGGAGAATTTTTTTTTGCACCTATATTTTTTTATTGCATTTTTTTTAGTGTGAATTTCCTTCATAGATGTGTTTCCTTCATGTCCATTGTACTGACTTTTTGTTTTGTTTTTTTGTTGTGGGAGAGCTTTTTTGCGCCCATATTTTTTTAATTGCATTTTTTAAAATTAATTTCCTTCATTGACATGTTTCATTTGTGTGCGTTGTGGTGCTCTTTTGTTTTTTTTGTTTGTTTGTTTTGGTGTTAGGAGATTTTTTTTCTCCCAAATTTTTTTAATTGCTTTTTGATTTTTTTATTAAGTTCTTTCATACATGTGTTTCATTCGTCTCCATTGCGGTGGTGTCTGTTTTGCTGAATTTTTTTTGCTCCCATAGTTTTGTAATTGCATTTTATATCTATATTATTTTTTTTAATTTAAATTTATTATTACTTTCAGCAAAAACTTACAGAGACTGTGGATTTCCATTCATTCATTGTTGCACTTTTCTTCCCTCCCAACCCTCCCTATCTGTGCATTTTAATTAGGATTTTAACAGAACTTTACAGAAAATTTAGATTTTCATTCATTCGTTGTTGCATATTCAGTTGCATTTTTTTATTATTAATTTCCTTCGTAGATGTGCTTCGTTTGTTTCCCTTATGGTGAGGTTTTGTTTTGTTTTGTTTTTGTTTTGGGGGAGGTTTTTTGCTT